CTCCGTGTGGACTCCCTCTCTGGAGCAGGACATCACATGGTTTCCCTGTGCGAGCCTCTCTAAGTGAGTCTTGGGGCGAGTTTTGAGGGGCTTTTCTGTGGCTCAGATTGTAGGAATCTGTGGTAGGAATGTGGACCACTGGGGTCTCTCACTTTTCCTTTTCCCACAGTGAGAACCTCTCTGGGTTCCCAGCTGATCCCAGTCCCGGTAGAGCTGCCTCACCTTACCTCCCTCCTTGCCATAGGTGCTTCCTGTCACTTCTCTATTGAATTCCAGGTTCTCTCTTAGATCTATTTGAAGTGTGGTCACCTACTTGCTGTTTTGGTTTTTCTTTATGAAGGAGGCCAGTACCAGGTGACTGTGATCAGCTGGCCTCTGATTCCAGGCCTCATTCCAGGCTCCAAACTTTCCTCTTAAAAGCTACACCCCCAGAGCTGACTGCAACCTTACCTTCAGCCTTTTAATGTGATATCTGATAATAGATAGGCTATTATCCTAAATAGGATAAACAGGCTCCCTGCCTATCAAAAAAATGATTCAGTTAGAAAATGCTAAAATAAATTGATATTATTTCCAGTTTTCTCTGATGAGACATAAATTTACAACTGAAAAGCATTAATAGACAGTTTTCAAAAAAAATCATACACTGAACATTCACCAAGATCAACCATATCCTGAGCCATTAAACAAACTTCAACAAATATAAAATAACTAAAATCATACCAAGTGTGTTCTCTGATCATAATGGAATCAAATTAGATATCAATGGCAAAAAGACAATAGAATCTCCAAACACATGGAAATTGAATAGCAGACTTCTAACTAATTCATGGGTCAAAGAGAATATGTGAAAGGAAATAAAAATACAGAGAACTGGATGAAAATGAAAGCACAGGGTATCAAAACGTGGGATGCAGCTAAAGCAGCAAGGAAGCAGAAACGTACAGCACTAAATGTTCACAATGGAAACGAAGAAAGGCCTCCAACCAAAAACTAGCATGCCTACCTCAAGAAATCAGAAAAGTGAGAGCAAAATACACTCGAAGCAAGCAGAGGAAAGAAATAATAAAGAGCAGAAATCAATAAGGTTGAAAATGAAGGAGACCATGACGAAGAGAAGAAGACCTGGAACAAGAGGCTGGTTCTTAAAAAACAAAACAAAACAAACACAAAACAAACTAACAAGCATAAAGTTGGTGAAGCTTTAGGAAGAATGACAACGTTAAAAAGACAGAAGATACCAATCATTAATATCAGGAATAAAACAGGACATCACTACAGATCCTGTAGCCATTAAAAAAGTAGTGCTGCAAACATTTTCATACTCACTAATCTGAAAATCACCAACTACCAAAACTCAGCCAAGATGAAACAGACAACCTGGATAGTCCTAAAACCATTTATAAATTGAATTTATATTAAAAATCTTCCTAAAAAGAATTCTTCAGTCCCAGAGAGTTTCACTGGAAAATTCTAATAAACATTTAAAGAGAAATTTACACCAATTTTCCACAGCCTCTTCCAGAACATAGAAGAAGTGGAAATACTTCCAAACTTTTTTTTTGTTTGTTTGTTTGAGATGGAGCCTCACTCTGTCACCAGGCTGGAGTTCAGTGGCCTGATCTTGGCTCACTGCAATGCTTGCCTCCTGTCAAGCAATTCTCCGGTCTCAGCCTCTTGAGTAGCTGTGACTACTTACATGCAAAAGCCCTCCACCAGGTACTAGCAAAATACACCACCACATCCAGCTAATTTTTGTATTTTTAGTAGAGATGGGGTTTTACCATGTTGGCCAGGATAGCCTTGATCTCCTGATCTCGTGATCCACCCACCTCGGCCTCCCAAAATGTCAAAGATACCTTATGAGACCATATTACTCTGATTCCAATACCATACAAAGATAACACAAAAAAAGAAAACTAAAGACTAATATCTCTCATGAACTTACATTCAAAAGCCCTCCACCAAGTACTAGCAAAGTGAAACCAACAGCATATGAATAGAATTATACACTGTGACCTAATGGAATGTAAGTACACAAAGCTGGTTTGACATTTGCAAATCAGTCAATGTAATTTAATGTATCAACAAGCTAACAAGAAAAACCAGATGATCACATCAAATGATGCAGTAAAAGCACGAGAAAAAATTTAACATTTATTCATGTCAAAAACTCTCAACCAATTAGTAAAAGTGAGGAATAACTTCAACTTGATTAAAAAAAATCATCCTTAACAGTGAACAATTGAGTGTTTTCTCTCTCAGGTGAAGAGAAGGCAAGTCTGGTCTTATCACTTATTCAGCATAGTACTAGAAATTCTAGACACTGCAAATCATGCAAGAAAAGGAAATGAAACACATACAGGTTAGAAAAGAAGAGCCGGAGGAAGGTGGATGTGGCTATAAAGGAACCCGGATGATTTTTGTGACCTTGGAAACATTCAAGATCTTGATTATCATGGTATATACATAAACCTACACATGTGACAAATTGTACAAGACTAAACACACACATATGCACAAATAAAACTGGAGAAACCCAAATCCGATCTGTGAATTATATCAGTGTCAATATCTTGGACATGATACAATATTATAGTTTCGGAAAAGTCAGCTCAGCAGAAACTGGGCTAAAAGTACATGGTTTAAATATTATTTCATATAATTTCATGTGAATCTGTAATGGTCTCAATAAAAATTTCAGTTAAACATGGCTGAGCGTGGTGGCTCATGCCTGTAATCCCAGCACTATGAGAGGCTTAGGTGAGTGGATCATCTGAGTTTGAGACCAGCCTGACCAATATGGCAAAACCCCATCTCTACTAAAAAAATGCAGAAAGTTAGCCAGGCATGGTAGCCGGCGCCTGTAGTCCCAGCTACTTGGGAGGGTGAGGCAGGAGAATTGCTTGAACCCGGCAGGTGGAGGTTGCAGTGAGCCAAGATCCCGCCATTGTACTGCAGCCTGAGGAACAAAGCAAGATTCTGTCTCAAAAACAAAAAACAAAAAGAACAAAAAAACTTCAGTTAAACAAAAGCAGAGAGCAGAGAAAAGGCAAAAAGGCAGAGTATGGGAAGAACTTCTGGGATCAATTCACAGCAGCAGCATGGCTGCTTTTCATTTTATCTTTTTTGGTGACGAGGGGTTGTTGGTCTCAGAAGGTCAAGAAATTCACATTTTATTCCTCCCATGTCACTCATGTGACAGACCTTGAGTCAATGGCGAGATCATTCCAGGAGTGTGGCAAGGAGAAAGCTAGGCTGCCAAGGGTCAAGGAGAACATAAGGTATTCAAAGTCAAAGCAATGGTTACACTGAAAGGATTGGGGGCTGTTCTGGCACCTCCATGGGCAGCACAGCCGGGAGCTGCTGATTTTGAGTGAGGAAGACCTGAACACATTTGTGGGTGGAGGGAAAGGATTCAATAGTAGAAATATTGAAAAATAGAGCCATGAAGAGGGACAGGGGAAGAAGGGAACAGGATGATGGAGGACCCTTAGAGAGGCCAGACTTCATCGTTTGAGAGGAAAGGGGAGAGAGGCAAGGGCGAGGACATGGAAACAGTGGGTGAGGTGGGAAGGTGAGGAGTTCATCCTGGTGGCCTTGGCCTCTGCTAATGTCACCTGCTGGGAGTACAGTAAGGCTAGGGGTCCAAGAATAGGGTGGAGCAGCACGGGGTAGAGCTGGTGACCCCCAAACTCCAGTAGAGACAAGTTCAGAAGGCTGAGCCCATCCAGCACTGGGGGAGAGATAAGCAGCAGCTCTGGGTGACTTAAAAAAAATAATCATCCTCGTTTTAACTTTCACTATAGGGGGAGTACAGACTCATGGCAGAAATTAGAAAATAGAGAAAAATCAAAGTAATCTGTAAAAAAAGGATCATAATCATACCACATAGGGATAGCAAGTATTAAATGTGTGTGGTATATTTCTTCCATGGACTTTTCTCCATTCATATTGTTTTCATATGGTGTCTTTTGATAAAATTTGGATCTCATAGTTTTGTATACTATTATTTCACAATGTACTATCATGGCCATTTTCACTCACAATTTTTGATCTTCAAAGTTTTGTTTTTTCAACAACTACAAAATATTTCTTATATTGTCATTCTATGCTTTTTTCCAATCCTCCCCATCTGGATCATTTGAATGCTTTTCACATTTTTTCTGACTACAAATAACTGTAACAGGCTGCCTTGTATATAAATCTTCGTGTGCATCTGTGATTATTTTCTCGGGGTAACTTCATTAGCTAATGTTTTCCAGATGTGTCAGCTGGCCTGCAAGCAGAGAAGGCATGGGTTCAAACTGACCAGATGGAGATCATGCAAACTCATGGAGCTTAGAAATGCGTGGGGGAAAAGGATCCTAAGAGCAAGGGTCAGGGAAGAATGGGCTAGAGGGAATCAGGAGGATCATGGAAGGAGGTGAGGGAATTAGAAATTGAGGTTTAGGTGAAGAGCAAGTTCAGCAAGACCAAAGGTGTGGCTGCACACTTGGAACTAGACTCTCCACCTCTGTCCCCAGGTCAAAAAAGCCATGTTCTATTCCTCCCATGTCACTCATTTGACACAGACTTGAGTCAATGGTGAGATTGTTCCAGGAAAGTGGCAAGGAGAAAGCTAGGCTGCCAAGAGTCAAGGAGAACATAAGGGGTTCAAGATCAAAGCAATGGTTAGACTGAAAGGAAGTAGGGGGCCATCCCAGAAGCTCCAGGGGCAGCACAGTTGGAAGATGCCGATTTTGAGTGAGGAAGACCTCAACACATATGTGGATGGAGGGAAAGGATCCAATGGTAAAAAGACTGGAAGGCCACAGCCATCCTCTGCCAGGCATTACCAGTACTTTCTGATGACCAATCTTGGGTGAGCTGACTGCAAGCACTCTAAGAATACAGGGGTTCCTTGTGACCCACCCCTGCCCTTGCCTGATTCTAGAAGTCACAGCAGTGCACACCTCTTTGACAACTGACTTATGAGACATGCAGAAAGGAATACTCACTGTCTTCATGAGTCCAGACGAGCTGAGGTGTGCTTGGAGGCCCATCCCCAGGGGTGGTGAAGCACAGAACTGAAGTGAAATAGGCAGTGAACTTCCTCAGGTTTGTTATGTGCCCATGGTGGACTCCGTGGAAATCTGGGGCAATGGTGATGACAGTGACAGCCTCGGGGGCATCTGCTGGCCATGCTAGAAGCTGAGATGGAACAGGGTGAAAAAGACATCCCTTTTTCTGTGGCATTTCTCCACACACACTTCAGTAGCAGAATTTTATTTTGCAATGAGTATGTCTTATCAAACATAAAGTCATAATTAAGAAAGGCCACAAATCCTACGTCTTATAATCACACTTCAAAAAAGTTGAGATAAAAGTATACTTTATAGGTTTTTGTATACAAACATATATATTCACATGTATTTTATACTTGTATATATAAATAAAATAGCTACTTAACTCATATTGGAATAATGGACACGCCTTCAAATCTTCACCCTCTCTTCACTTAAGAAGGTTAAAAAAATATATAATATATACTATGTATATACACATATATAATACATATGTATATATTATATATACTATATACATGTCTATATAGTATACATTATATATATAATATTTTTAATATATATAATATAGTATATATATATATTTTTTTTGAGATGGAGTCTCACCCTGTCACCCAGTCTGGAGTGCAGTGGCGTGTTCTCAGCTCATTGCAACCTCTGCTTCCCGGGTTCAAGCGATTCTCTTGCCTCAGCCTCCTGAGTAGTTGAAACTACAGGTGTGTGCCACCACGCCTGGCTAATTTTTTCTATTTTTAGTAGAGACGGGGGTTTCACCATGTTAGCCAGGATGGTCTCGATCTCCTGAACTCATGATCTGCCTGCCTTGGCCTCTCAAAGTGCTGGAATTACTGGCATGAGCCACCACGCCTGGCCATACATATGTATTATATACACATATATACTATATATTATATATACATATATACTATATATAACATTTTAACAGTTAAGAATAAAGATGAAACCATCTGTTAATTCAGCTGAAACAATGCAACAATGAAATAAACACAAACATTTTTCTAGAAAGCACCTACTCTATCTCAAAAAAGGTATGAATAATTCAACAGGAATAATCTTAATTATTTATAAATTATATCATACTAGTTTCATGAAAAGGATTTTAGAAAACTGGTTACAATTTTAAAGAAATAAAGCATATATATGCATCCTAAGGAAAGCTGTTTTGGCAACATTACATATGTGTGTGTGTTTTAATTCCTTTGACGTCAAACATTTCTAGGATTAATTGGGTCTGAAACTTGACATGCTGTGGGACGCCAAGTGTATTTACACAGATCAAACTGACAACGAAGTCATCACACGAGCACCGCAGCCTCACCGATGAGACTTGACAGGAGAGGCAAGAAGGCAAAAGCATCTGGGTGAGCAATATAATTTTCTTTCAAAAAAGCTTCTGGCTCTGAATACTTCTGAGGAGAAGCAAAAGGCAGGGCAAATTTCCAGCTACTCCTGCCTTTCTGTCAGACGAATAAGTGTTTCAGCAAGTTGAATCAAAATGGGGGAAAAAATGAACTGTGTGCCTGAGGAAGCATACCCTCTGAATGTGAAATAACCAGGTATGAAAGCAAATTGAGATGGAAGCTTTCATGTAAAGAGCTTCCCTGGTTTACTGGCTATTAAAGATTAGTGGATGTATTGCAGCTAAATCAAGGTGGGCTCCCAAATCCAATCAGGAGAAGTTGATCGGAAAGGGAAGATCAGCTGTGCTTTTGGAAGGTGTATCCTGAAACATCAATGAAATTAATCCACTCTGGTAATTAAGACATAAGAAGTTGGATGATGGAAATATGTCTATGTATCTAATTCAGTCTGGGTGGGTAGCTGGAAACAATCAGTCTCAGTTCTTTAGACAGAGCTCTTCCTGAAGTAGCAAGGGAAGAAGAAAATATCTTCTCTCCATGGAAATATCCCTTTGCTGGGGGCCTGTGTTATCCTGAGAGGACCTGCTTCTGGGAAGAAGTGATGTGTGCAAATGTTGATTCTAATCACCAAGACAGGACTCTGACTGGCCACTTAAAATGAATGGCCTTTCTCATAAGAAATTGCTCACTTATGTATGAACCATCCTCTTGATAACTAAGAATCTGAGTTTCTGAACCTGTAGAGCTGATGCCAAGAGTTTGGATAAATGGTGATCTCGCCAAGGTCAGGATGTTCTGTATCTTGACGCAGCTGGCTCCTGACGCACAGGAGGGGCTGCCTCCAGATGCATTGCACAGTGGATCTAGACAACGACAGCTGCCCACAGGCCCTGAACCCAGGCCACATACCTTGTATCCCTGGTTGATGCCGTTGATGAACTGCTGAGGTGGAGGATTCCACAGGAACTGAATGGTGGTGGAGTTCACGGCTTCCGTCTGCACATTCTGCGGGGGTGCAGTGGGCACTGTGGCACGGCAGCCATTGACGACAGCAGAACAAATGGCAGGCAGCAGCATGGGGAGGAGAGACGGAAAGGAAACCCTTAGCTGCCACTCACGCTCACAGGCAATTACTGCACTGAGACCAAGGAAGTGTGATGAATGTTTTGGGAAGCTTACCGTGGCATTACAAAGAAAGAGAATGGGGCTATTTTTCATTTTCTCTTGCAGAATTCTTTAAGGCATAGGCAGAAAAGTGGACAAGAGCATCCTCTCATTCCACAGATGAGCCTTTCCTGTAGCTCCAAGACAGACAGCAAGCAAAGCTCTAATTTCTTTTTCAATGTTCTAATTTTTTAGATCAAGGGAAGCTTTCATCTAGAGATCCTCCCTCAATATATACCACTATGTTTCCAGCTAAATTGTTCATTACATGGAAAAAAAACACCAAGCAAACAAAATCATCACCCTCCTCCCATATACACAGTTATTTATCCATTTGGAGGCTAAATTTCTCTTTGTCTGTCAATGGGGACCATCATTTTTGGATTTTCCATGGTTTGCTTCTCTCTTTTATAGAACAGCTATTGAACCCAATTATTTACCTGCCAAATGACTGCCTTCAAGGAGTGCCTTTTCCAGGGGATATGCTCGTGTAACTGTAAGAGCGAGATGCTCTGCAGAGCAGTAAACTCGCAAAGGGCAGGTGCCTGCCTTTGGCCTGGGAGGGCTGGAGGGCCTCATCTGGACTGTGTTTGGGAGAAAGGGTGGCCTGTGAGGGGTAGAGTTTTGAGAAGGGCACTCTCAGCTGGGGGAGCCGTGGGCAAAGGCAAAGTGCTGCCAAGGAGCCTGGCGAGGATGGGCACATGGAGAGCGTGACTGGATGTGGGGTGGGGGGAAGTGGGGTGCCGGCGGTACACGGGTCTTGCTGGGATTGCCTATCACACTCAGCAGTGTGGCTGATCACTTATACATAAGGCAATAGGGAACTGCAGGCCTTCCGGAAAGGGCAGTGGGCAGGGCTATCTTCTTCAGGATGGGAACCCCAGGGGCCTGCAGGGAGGGGCCAAGCCTCCGCTGCACCATCAAGGCTTCTACTGGATAGAAGGAAGGTCCTTGCTCTTCAGGTTTCTGTTCTAAAAGTGAGGCACAGAAGCCCAAGGGATCCAGGTAGAGAAACAAAAACAATTGTCTTCTTGGCCCAGAACACATGTGATCTCATGTGGTCCTGGTAAAAATCACTACATTTTTCTGGGCTCCCTTCCCCAAAAGCCCATCTCAGGCAGAGATGAGACAAATACAAACCTCACCAAGCCCCTCAAGTCTTCCCCTCCCAGGTGTGCAGGAGGCCCTCTGTCCCCATCCACTGCTGTGATGCCCCTTACTCCCCTCTCTAAGTCACCAGGAAACTGCCCTACTTGCCATCCAGTAAAATGTGTGGGTTAAAAATGGACACAGGGCTTATTGTGCCTGGGATGCTGAGTGCTGCAATGCAAAGAACATCACATCCACCTAAGAACAAGACTGAATGAAGTGCAAAACAATGACTTTTCCTGAGCCCACAAGAGAGCTTCAGTTGCACACCAGCCAAGTGTTTGGAAATACAAGGAAAGCTGTGCCTCTCCAAGGAGTGAGGATGGGTCCCACTCACCCGTCACAGAGTGCGGGAGGAGGAGACAATGGAAATTCACCCCAAATCCTCAGTAAACAGCTGAAGGGTGAATGTGAGCTATAAAAGAGGACAGAATCTCTGGGAGCTACAGACATACAGCATCCGAAGGAACAAAGATGAGGACTATGTGTATTTCGTGGGTGATTTCCACCAAGCATTTGAGGAATAAATTAAACCAATTCTAAAGCATTATCCTGATACCAAAATCAGAAACAGCCACTGAAGGAAAACTATAGACCAATATCCCTCATGAACACAAGTTCAAAAAATCCTCAACAAAATATTAGAAAATAAAATTCAACAATATGTGACAGTCATAATCTAGCCTGTTCAATGAGGTGTGTCTCATACAAGCAAGGCTGGGTCAAGATGTGAATGACGAAGTAATTCCTCACATCAACAGAAGAAAGAGGAAAAACAGATAAATATCTTAATAGACTTAGGAAAAGCATCTGGCAAAATTTATTAACCAATTGTGATATTTTAAAAAAGAAAAAACCTCTCAGCAAAGCAAGAATTTAGAAAAAGAATTTAAACTTTAAAAAGGGTACCTATAAAACACCTAAAGCTAACATCTTATTTAGCCAATAAAAACACAAAATAGATATAAGTTTAACAAACTATGTGCAATATCTGTACACTGAAAACTACAAAACACAAATGAAGGAAACCAAATACCTAATCAATACAGAATCATATCACATTAACAGATTGGAAGAAAACACAGTAAAGAGGTCAGTTCTCCCCAAACTGATCAATACAGTGACTCCGATCACAATCAAAATCACAGCTACACTGCATTTCAGCCTGGGTGACAGAGCAAGACCCTGTATCAAAAAAAAAAAAAATCTCAGCTAGATGTTTCTTAGACATTGAAAAGGTGATTCTAAAATTGATATGGAAAAGCAAAGTAACTAGAATAGCCAAAGCAAGTTTAAAAAAAAAATGGACAACCTTTACTGTCTGATTTCAAGACTAACTATAAATCAATAGAAATTAAAACAGGGTGTTACTGGAGAAGGGGTGGACACATTGATCAGTGACAGAGAGTACGGGCAAGAAATTACTCACACATATATCACTCGGTTTCAATAAAAACACAAAGAAATTATGTTTCAATAAAAACACAAACACAAAGTAGTTTCAACAAATGGTACTGGGAATATTAGACATTCATTCACAAAATAAGACAAAATCTCCATTTATACCTCATACCATTTATAAAACCTAACTCAAAATAGATCAAAGGCTTAAATATAAACCTATAATTATTATAATACTTCTAGGAACAAAATAGTTGTGACATTGGGTTAGGCAAAAAATTATCAGATACAATACCAGGGATATAATCCATAAAAGGAAAAAAAATGAATAAAGCTGACTTTATGATAGACATCTGTTAAGAAAATTAGACCCCATCTCCACAAAATAATAATTTAAAATTAGCTGGGCATGATGGTGCACACCTGTAGTCCCAGCTAGTTGGGAGGCTGAGGTAGGGGGTGATCATGAGAACTCGAGAGGTTGAGGCTGTAATGAGCTGTGATTGTACCACTGCACTACAACCTGGGCAACAGAGTGAGACCCTGTCTCCAAATAAATAAATATGTACATACATAAATAAAATCTATATGCGATATTCATAGCAGCTTTAATAATTACCCCAAATTGCAAACATTCTAAGTTTTTAAACAAATGGATGGGAAACAAAACCATGGTGCATCCATGGAATGGGACGCTTCTCAGTAGCAGAAGGGAACAAAATACATATACACACGAACACATAGGCGAATCTCAAATGCATGACACTAAGGGAAAGAAGCCAGATTCCAAAGACTGCACACTGCATGCTCCACTTATATGATGTTCTGAAACAGGCAAAGTGATGAGAAGAGAAAACAGCAGTGCTTGCCAAAAGCTGCTAGGGCAGGGTAGAGGGGTGATTATAGAAGCACAAAGGTGTTTGGAGGAGGTGACAGAAATAGTCACATCTCCATCATCATAGTGAATGTGGGCTAACAATGTTTGTCAAAATGTATATGTAACTGTACACCAGAAAGGGTGACTTTTACTGTATGTAAATTTTGATACCACAATAAATCTCACTTTTAAAACATGCGCCAGGCAGGGCATGGTGACTGACACCAGTAATTCCAACAATTTGGGAGGCCGAGGTGGGAGGATAGCTTGAGGTGAGGAGTTTGAGACCACCCTGGGCAACAGAGTGAGACCCTATCTCTACAAAACAAAAAATTAGCCAGCCATGGTGGCATGCACCTATAGTCCTAGCCACTTGGGAGGCTGAGGTGGCAGGATGGTTTGAGCCCAGGAGTTTGAGGTTACAGTGAGCTATGATTCTGCCATTGCACTCCAGGTAACAGAATGGGGCCTTGTCTCTTAAAAAAATAAGACAAAGCAAAATGCTGCACATTCGTTGATACTTTTCCCATGAAGAGGTGGTGTCTATGCCTGAAACCCTTCAATGTAGGCTCTGAGACTGCTTGACCAATAGAAGATGACCCAGGTCCTAATAAACTAGCAACTTCTCGTTGGAGCAGCCATAGGAGGGTGAGGATCCTGAGACTGCAGGCTGGCAAGGCCAGGGGCAGCTGCCCCAGTGGACAGTGTAGGGAGCCAGCCCTCCTACCTTCCTAGCCTTGGTGCCAACGTGTGCACAAGACATCTTCCCAACTGAATGAGTGGCACAAACAGTCACATATCCAAGCCCTACTCCATCCAACTCCTGACCCGCAAAATCATGACATATCACAGGTGTTGCTTTTAACTTCCAGGTTTTGGGGTAGTCAGTTAGGCAGCAATAGATGACCAGAACAATCTCTGCTAAAAGAAAAAAAAGAAAACAAAAGAGGGCAAGAAGAAAAAGGAAGAAAAGGGGAAGGAAAGAATAAACATCAGGAATTATTGGGAAAAGACCAACAATTGTTTTGACATTTTCCCTTAGAACCCACAACCTCTGGGGTTGAGGAAGGCATCTTGTTCTCATTAGGTTTAGCTTCAGGGTTTCATGAAGCCCAATTACTGACTTTGGAATGCCAGAATACCAAATATCAAATGTCGTTAAATTCTCTAAAATAAGGCTACAAAGATTATATGCAAGAAAAAAAATTTGCATAATTTAAATAAGTAGTTGTTTTCTGAAGATTCAAGAGGACATCCGTATCTGCTTGGCTGCAGCACAGTCCTCAAATCAAGTTCTGGTCCTGCATCCTGGAGGCAGTGCCTCTCGGGCCCACCATGGTTACATAGAAACAAATTCCTAACTGAGTTGGCCCGTCTAACAAGGCATTTCCCTTCCCTTCTCACTATGTGGGCTACCGAAAACCACCAGCTCTT